AAAAAAGAAAAAATCTTTTCCAGTAGTCCAATGAAGAGTCCATAATGAAGAGATTCAAATTTATATCGGAAGAAAAAATTCGAAAAGCTTACTACATCGTGATATAAGGATATTGTAGCTATGATCATCTTAGAGTTTTTGATTTTCCGTTACGTACATAAACAGTTGAATTCAAGGAGGTTTTTCTATCTTTGTTGACAGGCAGGGCAAGTTTATCTAGATAAAAAAAACCCAAATGATCCTTAAGCTGCTGAAAGGTTTGTCTTTCTGTTTTGCAGCTACAGTAAATTTTATGAGTTCTGATTTATAGCTTTTCCAAGAAATTCGTGGAGAATGATGTTAGAATTACGTCTTCACTTACGTCTACTTATTTTATGTGGAAGAGAAAATAATTTGAATTTATGAAACTCCTCAACGGATTCAATCATTGTATCATAGAAAGGTAAAATACACTTTCCCGCCCTTACTCCTTTTGAACTTCTTTGTTCACAGTTCTCTTACATGTTTATTTGGAGTAAGAGGATGTTTCTTAGAGGATTGATATAAGATTGAATTGCTCTGATTTCATACGGCCTAATGGTATGTTCATCGGTCTGTAACTTTCAATTTGGTGTTGCTTTTAAGCATAAAGCAAAACAACCCGAGGAAGTGGACCATTTTGAAGAATCCATTGTGGGTTTCTTTTGAACATATTTACAGTTAATCATTATATTTGGAATAGGGCACCAGGCTGTTGACAATGAATGGATAATCAGCTTCTTGACGGAAAGTGTAAGGAACAATATCGGTCATCATTTTCACTGGGCCAGCTGAAATAATTGTTATACTATTGGAAGGTAAACGCTCTAATAACCTCTTCCTCCTTGATAAATACCCATCCGCTGTTATACCGGGTGTAATCTCGCCCTCTCTTAACAACTGCAATGATGAAACCATCAATTTCAGAGACTAAGCAAGGGTGAAAATAACCATCATAAGATTTAGAAAGGGAATAAAAGGTCTCTTAATATAATGGAAGTACATGAGGATGAGTGGCAGCAGTTGGTTCTCCCACATCATAAACCTTATTGAGAAAAAACATGAGGACAAGGGATATTTTAGTTGCTGTGAGAAAGAACGTGATTGTGAGCTGCTAATAATAATCGTTACTGTTTTAGGTTCTACATTCTATAAGTACCTTATATATTATAATAAAATGTATTGTTTTATTTATTTTTGGATTGTTTGGTTTTGTTATTTGACAATTTCGAAATCCAGGAATGTCCAAGGCAAGTATACACTTATATCAAGACATATTTTGTTACAATATAATTTTCAAGAGATCGTCCGGACATCCGCTCGGGCTAAGCATCTAGTTAATGTGAAAGTCATAAAATACTCAATGTAGAAATTGTTTGCATCGGCACATGTGTCTTCTTAATAACAATGACTTGATGGTTCCTGAAGATAGTGAACAAAGGACAAAATCCGAGATCTCTTATAAGTTTGATAAGCTTTTGATTGTATCATCATTTATAATTAACTAAGGTATCATATTATCAATTTATAATTAAAATAATATCTACTAGTATAATACCCACACGTTGTGTGGGACATACAATACTCACCTAAAACAAAAATAAAATTGTTTACTTTAAGTATTTTGTATTGACATTATTTTTTAGTTAAAACCATAAAATATAATGTAGATTATATTTTTGAGACTTGGGAAGTATTATTTTATTTTAATAATTCGAAAAATATAAATCCGTTCCGAAAAGAGTTGTATAAGAAAAATATTTTGGACGATAATTAAGTTATATTGACCAAAAAAAATTGGGGAAAAAATTAAGAAACCTTTATTTTGATTTGTTTAAACACTAAGTTATTTTTTTTTTAATTTTATTGTCTAAACTCTATCCTAATCTGCAAAGAAACATAAATTGCTGTCTAAGAGTAGCATTAATTTCCAAAACTTTGGACAATTCTCACATCAAATTATTTTCAAAATTATTAATAGTTATATTTTTCTTAGGAAGAGTTGAATTAAAGTTTGATAAATTTTGACGATAAGAACGCGATTTATTAATTTTCAAGCATATTAATCTTTCTTAGATTATGGTGTATTGATGAAGATTAACATTTTTCTACATTATCTTTATGGTTTACATTATTTTTTTACTTCCAAAATACATTCAACAGATACTAATTTATAAAAATCTTCTATTATAAATGGAAAATATATACATAATTTTGATTTTCTCAATATACATTAAACATACATTACCTCCCATCGTCCTGCAATTATAGGCCTTTAGTTATAATCGAATCATTATCTTGAATAAATTTTAATTAACCGAATCAATATGTCAACAATTTTTTTTGAAAGGAAGCTTTACAATTTTATTTTGATATAATCATTGTATGAATTTTTTTTTAATTCAGAAAGCTTTCACGATTTTATTTCGTTTGATTACAGAAAATGGAGTTGAGCATCTGAAGGATTATCCTTTTGCTTTTTATGATGTTTTCTATTAAAGAAGGATTCAAAAAATACAACAGAACAACTAACAAAAAAAAAATGTGTGCATGTATGTCATCCCCACACTAACAGGAGAAGCGGATCAGCATCAACATTTGAACTATATGTAGTGATTGATTTATTTTCATTGAAATAATAACTAGAAGTTGGGCTTTGTTGTTGTTGAAACAAGAATTGATGAGTTGGAAATATGCCAATGAACTTGTCACTAATTTTGTTTATCTTCAGTTACGATTCAAAGTTGGTGATCGCTTTAAGAAGAAGTGGCAATATGCTTGGGTGTTTCATGTGCTATGGGAAACAGGAGGATTTGGTGTACTCATATGTTGTTTGTGGGTACTAATAGAGCATCATTTGAAGTCAAGAGAAATTGAGTTGCTGGTCCATCAACCATGAGTTTAGATGTTAGAGCTTGGATAAATATTGTAGTTACAAATATTATGTTTTTAAACTTTTTTGGTCCTATTTCACTGTTTCTGGCGGTTGACATGCCGATATCAGATGTATTTTCGTCTTTTTATTTAATTTGAACTTTCACTAAAATTTCAATTATTAAAAATATTTTAAAACTTACATTTCATTATTTAATTATTAAAATATTATTTATTAATTTAAAATATTATTATAAAATTGTAATTTTACATTATTTTTAAAATTCCTTTTTTTATTTACCATTTATCTTAGGTACACTGTAAATTATGTTGCACTTTTAACTCTGGGCCCGCTGTAACTTAAACAATTTACCAAATTATAGTAATAATTCAAGTTTCAATTTTTTTTTCAAAAAAAAAATTGAAACCAAGATTTTTGACTTTGACCGCTACAGTAAACCCGAAATGGTAATTATTTTATACTTTTAACCTTGTGAAGTACAAAATCAGGATTTCACACATGATTGTTTTGACGTCTCAGGATCGGATCGGATTCTGGATTGGCGGAATCGAAACTATTTAAATAATTCTGAAATTACAAGTTTCAATTTATTAGTTCAATTCTTGTTTGATTTTATAGAGGAGAAGTAGATTAGTGCCTGCATAAATATCATCAACTCAAAATTTTAACTTTTATATCTTTTCTAATCATTTTTTCTCCTTTTTTATACGAAATCAACAATTTGTACAAGTATCGACAAAATCAATGGGATCTCTGGATCGTAGGATCCTGCGATTTGGATTGAAATTTTGAACGATTTTATAAGATCTCACTAAAAAGAAGGATTCCATAAGATCCAGGATCGATTTTCTCAAACCGGATCGTAGGATTCTAAGATCTGGATCGAGATTTTGAAAACACTATAACTTTAACAAATGTAACTTAAAGTAACTATATCGTATTACAATTAATAACCGGACTGCTGAATCTACCACCTACACCATCTCCAGTCTCTCGGGCAACAAGCCCTTCACTGAAGACTCCCACATTCCACTCCGACGCCTCCATCAAGAAATCAACGGAAACCACTCCCGCCAAATTGACGCGGAGGAGGAACGGACACGATGGGAATTAGAGGCCTAAATTGATTTGGGGATTTTGCCTTATATAGGAAAGTTAAAAAAAAATGTAAGGAATGTCAAAACGTTGTTGTTTTGAGTTTATTTTTTAATTTCGGTCAATTGGTTAGGACTCGGTCGTTTTGACGTTCAAGTTTCTTATTTGTGTGGATGATTTGAAAATGTTTTAGAAGTAGTATTTATCTATTAATTTTTTAAATCTCATTAAAATCGTTAATTATCTATTGACTATTTTAAACTTCAATAAAATGGCTGATTCCATCGGAATTTTTATGGACCAATCAAAATATTAAAATGATTGGAGGTGGTTGTTTGTATAAGAAAGAAGAGAAGAAGAATAGAGATTAGGATCAATAATTTATGATGACTCTGTCACGCTCCAGAGAAATTCTATTTCCAGTTTTAATATTTATATTTCAGTCCTAAATTATTATTATGCAAATTAGGGAATTAGGGTTGTGAGGCGACGTCGTTTCAAACTGCCTTGGTCACAAGATCGAACCCGCCGCCTCTCCAATCATTTCTGTTAATTTCCTTTCTTTATTTCCAAGCAATGGTGGACAGCTAGCCTATGTAGAAGTTTCCTGGAAATTACCCTTGTGTTTTCCTTATCAGAGCATGTGGCTCTTTTTATAGGCACGTTCCTGAATTGTACGAGGTTATCGGTTATATTGAAAACCTTCTTCCTTGATAAAACTCTCCCTAAAAACTTGCTTTTTCATCCCTGCTTTCCCCTTCTTCCTTTAACGCTCTGAACTCTGCAATCTGAGTCTGTTTATGGTCTTTAATTTTTTGATTTCGTTACATTGACTCCTATAGATCAAAACAGTCTATATATGCACTATTATTGCAGTAATAAATTCATGATTACCCGGTTTGGTGGGCCTCCAGACATGTCCATTATGTACAAAACATCTCTTCCGAAAACTTTAAGCCCAAATTTATTTGTTTCCAATGCCATAACCCATTGGAATTTGAATTGGATCCAATGAAGTTGAAGTATTATTGGAATTTGAATTGGATCCAATGAAGTTGAAGTATTTACGGAGGTTAACGACGAAACAACATTTGTATTTCGCGTGTCTTTCATCTCAGTAGGGTTCATCATATTATCATAATCACCAATGGCTGCAAAAGATTCCCGCAAGTTTGGGCGCACTGAAATCCCGTTTGCAAAGTTGGTTTTTGCATTACTGATCTTCGTTTCTGCGATATACTTGACGGCGATGGCTTATAGTTGGCTAAATCAGCTGAACCGATCAAATTTGGCCCTAAAGAGCCCAGAACTGCACCAAGAGTTCGAAAGATTCATGGTCAAATTTGGGAAGAAGTACGACACCGAGGAGGAGAGAAGCAAGAGATTCCAGATCTTCGCGAAATACTACCAAAAACTCAAGGATTCCAACAAGTCTGGAGGCGGGTCCGAACAATCCTCTAATACTGATCTGGGTATTACTGGCTTTGCTGATTATGCGGATGAGGAATTACCTCGTGGTGGGTGTTCCATAGACTAAGGAAACCAAGGATTTCTGGCAGATTTGTTTCCGGTGCTTTATTTTGGTGTCTAATGAAGGGTGCTCAAAGCAGGTCGTTTGAGATCAAACATCATTTATTCTTGTCAGTTATTATCTTCTTTACATATATCATTGTGATTTCACTACCCTTTGGTTTTTCTTTGACAGTACTGTTTACTGCGGAGAAAGAATTATTTATACGAGTTTATTGTTGAAGTTATGTGTTCTTGTTATTTTTTTATTATGATCATTAAGTTGTTGTTTCAAGCTATGTTATCCGGACTCTTCTATTTGGGGAGAATACGATACCCGTATCCGAGTCCAGGTAACATAGGTTTCAAGTGCAATAGCCTCTCTGCTGCCCTAAGAAGCCTTTTAGATTTTTATGATGATGATATGCGAGGCATTTGGTTAAAGTTGAGGATAGGCTAAACCTTCGTTTTTAGTGCTGAAAAGGAGGAAGGCATTCTGATATAAAAATGGCTTTTACCAGAAACTTCGATTCTGGGGAGGAAAGATACGCTACTTTCAACCTCCTTTTTTGTTGCGCGTTGTGGTGTTTGATTTCCATGATGTATAATTGTTTTCGATTGTACGTACTTGATAAACTATTCCTTCAAAAGGGAAAAATACTGCATTCTCATCGTTAGTAAAATTAGCTGGGTTGTTTTTTGGGATACCATATCCAGCTTTGAAGAAGTATGCTTTCTTAATTATAATCGCAATTGAGCATAAGCATTGTCCCAACCTCACCGACTGACTAGCTGCTCTAGCTCCTGGTTGGAAGAATCAGACTTGGTAAGGTTAATCCTTGTGTCAAACTGTTTGGATCATTCTATATATGACTCGAGACTAGTTGTTAGGCACCGATTTTGTGGAGAACTTGGCCTGATGCATGTTCCAAACTGTGTATACCTTAAAAGTCTATAATAACCTCAAAGAGATATCTGGATCTATGACTGAAACAACATACGTTTATATCACAATGTTGGAGTAAGACAAAGGAAAACAACCTCTTGAGGTGTTCCCTTGTCTTCTCCATCCTAATTTCAAAAAGCTGCGCATAAATGTTCTGTTTTATCTTTTGCTTCCAATATTTACTGGCGTCTTCAATCTTTGCCAATCATCTGCCTTTAACTCCATCCCCTCAATCAGGTCAAAGAGGAGCAACTTATGGTTGCAGATTGTACAGACATTTCTTCTAATCACACTATTATTGGGTGTGTGATCTAAAAACAGGGGAAGAAGAAGATTGAACAAGGAAATTGATGATGAAATTCAGATAAATTTAGGAAGAAATCAATGCTACTTAATCCGAAAACTACTACTAGTAATAATATAAAAATGCTACAATATGCTCCTCCTCATGTTTAAACTAAATTAGGTATATTAACGCGCGACCAATGCATCTTCAAATCAATTTACCTCGTTCTTGTGCAAGGTATCTGGTATGATTATTATATTTTCATACACTTTAAAAGGGTTACTGCAGTTTGTTTGTTACAAAGGCATTTTGCCAAATCATTTCCGCAATAGATCTTATCATTCGTAGGAATACATGATTACTTAAATATAATGAATGCAGGGAAAAAATTTTAGGCTTGATGGTGAGTTAGCAAGATACGCAAATCGTAGAATTATCGAGATCAAAATATCCAAATGATCCTTTACATTTGGGCCTATTTGAAGTAACGTGCTCATCGTATATTTGTTGGTCTCATTTCAATATCGTAGTCACAAATATTATGTTTTCAAACTTTTTTTGTCCTATTTCATTGTTTTTGGCCGTTGAGATGCCGATATCAGAGGTATTTTCATCTTTTTATTTAATTTGAACTTCCATTAAAATTTCAATTATTAAAAATATTTTAAAACTCACATTTCATTATTTAATTTGTTAAAATATTATTTATTAATTTAAAATATTATTATAAAATTTTCAAAATTACTTTTTTTTTATTTACCATTTATTTTAGGCACACTGTAAATTATGTTGCACTTTTAACTCTGGGCCCGCTGTAACTTAAACAATTTACCGAATTATAGTAATAATTAAAGATTCAAATTTTTTCTTTTTAAAAAAAGCAAAATCAAGATTTTTTTACTTTGACCGCTACAGTAAACCCTAAATGGTAATTATTTTGTACTTTTAACCTTGTGAAGTACAAAATCAGGATTTCACACAGGATTGTTTTGGCGTCTCAGGATCGGATCGGATTCTGGATTGGCGGAATCGAAACCATTTAAATAATTCTGAAATTGCGAGTTTCAATTTATTAGTTCAATTCTTGTTTGATTTTATAGAGGAGAAGTAGATTAGTGCCTGCATAAATATCATCAACTCAAAATTTCAACAACTCAAAATTTCAACTTTTATATCTTTTCTAATCATTTTTTCTCTTTTTTATACGAAATCAACAATTTGTACAAGTATTGACAAAATCAAGCTGGATCGTAGGATCCTACGATTTGGATTGGAATTTTGAACGATTCTATAAAATCCTACTAAAAAGAAGGATTCCATAAGATCCAGGATCGATTTTCTCAAATCGGATCGTAGGGTCGTAGGATTCTAAGATTCGGATCGAGATTTTGAAAACACTATAACTTTAATAAATGTAACTTAAAGTAACTATATCGTATTACAATTAATAATCGGACTGGTGAATCTACCACCTACACCATCTCCAGTCTCTCAGGCAACAAGCCCATCACTGAAGACTCCCACACTCCACCGCGACGCCTCCATCAAGAAATCAACGGAAACCACTCCCGCCAAATTGACGCTGAGGACGAAAGGACACAATGGGAATTAGAGGCCTAAATTGATTTGGGGATTTTGCCTTATATAGGAAAGTTAAAAAAAAATGTAAGGAATGTCAAAACGTTGTTGTTTTGAGTTTATTTTTTAATTTCGGTAAGTTGGTTAGGACTCGGCCGTTTTGACGTTCAAGTTTCTTATTTGTGTGGATGATTTGAAAATGTTTTAGAAGTAGTATTTATCTATTAATTATTTTAACTCTCATTAAAATCGTTAATTATCTATTGACTATTTTAAACTTCAATAAAATGGCTGATTCCATCGGAATTTTTATGGACCAATCAAAATATTAAAATAATTGGAGGTGGTTGTTTGTATAAGAAAGAAGAGAAGAAGAATAGAGATTAGGATCAATAATTTATGATGACTCTGTCACGCTCTAGAGAAATTCTGTTTCCAGTTTTAATATTTATATTTCAGTCCTAAATTATTATTAAGCAAATTAGGGAATTAGGGTTGTGAGGCGACGTCGTTTCAAACTGCCTTGGTCACAAGATTGAACCCCCCGCCTCTCCAATCATTTCTGTTAATTCCCTTTCTTTATTTCCTAGCAATGGTGGATAGCTAGCCTATGTAGAAGTTTCCTGGAAATTACCGTTGCGTTGTCCTTATCAGAGCATGTGGCTCTTTTTATAGGTACGCTCTTGAATTGTACGAGGTTATCGGTTATATTGAAAACCTTCTTCCATGATAAAACTCTCCCTAAAATCTTGCTTTTTATCCCTGCTTTCCCCTTCTTCCTTTAACCCTCTGAACTTTGCAATCTGAGTCTGTTTATGGTCTTTAATTTTTCGATTTCGTTACATTTGGCTATCAGAGCCACGATCTTCTGACTGTGGGGAGTAGTTATGGTAGAAACTCGTAACATGGGGGCGGAAGATCAGGTTAAAAGATGGTTAACGATGCAATTTCCTCATTGGAAAAGAGAGTTGAAAGCAACATTGAATCCCTAGATATGAAGTTGATAAATATGGATAACGTTGTGGTAAGCCCGAGGTCTTAGATGGAAGCCATACGGTGGAATCTCAGCAATCGAAAGCTAGATGGGACAAGATCGAATCTTGGATGCAAATCATGGCTAAAAAGAAGTTTGTGTTTAAAGGCGAAAACTCTACACTGTAACAGAGAAGCCACCACCGCTGGATACTCCAAGTGGTCCGCCCGAGTTATGATAGAAGATGATTCCCCTGGAACGACAGAGATCGAAACCATAAGCACAATTTTCTCGAATGGAGCTGAGCAATTTCAAGGAGATAATGCAAAGGAGTGGATTCGAAAGTGTGAGAAATACTTGATCTATACTAGACTCCTAAAAATGCTAAGGTAAATATGGCTGAATTTTGTTTGATTGGCAAAGCGAAATATGGTTCGAAGGAGTAAAACAGACAGAGGAAGATTGAATTGGGAGGAATTCTCTGTGGCGTTAAATGAAGGTTTGAGCTTAAAGGGAAAAAGGATGAATTCGAAGAATTCAACAAGCTGCAACAAAAGGTTCTGTCTTGGAGTATATCGAGCAGTTTGAAGATCTGAAATCCCAAGTACTCGGAAGGACCATAGATTGACGGAGCAATACTTTGTCTTGAGTTTTATCGGTGGTTTAAGGGAAGAAATCAAACCCGTGGTAAGGATGCTATCCCCCAGAGACTTGGTTGCAGCTATGGCAGTCTCAATACACCAAGAGATGACTTTGGAACTGCAAATGAAAAAGGAGAAATCATCATCAGTTAACCATCATAGACCTCCAGTTGTTCCAGGAAGGCAGAACGCTCTCCGCATCGGATGGAAACTAGATGAAAAGAGACCATACCACCAGGATAAATTCAAAAAGATCTCTCCTCAGGAAATACAATACAGGTGGAATCATAATCTATGCTACAAGTGCGGGGAAAAGTATGGCCCGGGCCATCAGTGTAGTATGAACAAAGTGTATTTGATAGTGACAGAGGATGAGGAAGTGGGAAACTCGGATTTAGAGGTGCTTGAACTTCCAGAGGAACAGATGGTTATTAAAGGAGTTAGGAGGCTGTATCTACATTCACTGGATGGAAAATCCAAAAGAAGAACCATCACTATCAGGGGTAAGATTAAGGGAGTATGGGTGAACATTCTGGTTGATACTGGCAGTACATCAAGCTTCATTGATCCCAGTGTGGTCAAGGCATTGTCTCTTCATTATCGCTCTGTTGAGCCTTTTTGTATCAAAATGGCGGATGGAAACAGTGCGATGGGATCTTTCATGTGTCCAGAATTGTGTTGGGACATCCAGCAACATGAGTTTGCCTTTGACTTTAAGGTAATGAATCTTAGTGGATTGGATGTTATACTGGGTGTGGATTGGATGTCTAATTTTAGTCCTGTGGTTTTCGATTATGATAATGATAACATACAACTGACTAGAGGCCAAAGGAGGTATATATTGTATGGGGGAACTCAAGATCCTTCGTTGAATGTTTTGAAAATTGATGACTTAAGGGAGTATTTGGAAATCAAAAAGAGGAAAAGGTATTGTAAAGTATATTGTCAGACTGAAGGAATCTTGAGTTTGAAAGAGGAACCAAAGCCTAAACTCCTTGATCTTTTAGAAATATTATTCCAGCAATATGAGTCAGTGTTTTCAATACCTACAGGAATGCCACCAGTCAGGGAAATAGAGCACCGAATTGAGTTGAAAGCAGGATCTCAACCCTTCAAGGCCAAACCATACCGGTATCCTCACTCTCACAAGGATGAAATCGAGAAGCAAGTGGATGCCATGTTGAAAAACAAGATTATACGTAACAGCACTAGCCCTTATTCATCCCCGTTGTTGTTAGTTCCAAAGAAGGATGGAGAACAAAGATTCTGTACTGACTATAGGAGACTCAATGACATGACCGTTAAGGACAAGTATCCCACACCAATCATTGAAGAGCTATTGGACGAGTTACATGGAGCAAGCTATTTCTCCAAGCTGGATTTGGGTTTTGGATATTTTCAAATCAGAATGAGGTCACAAGATGTAGAAAAAACCGCCTTCCAGACCCACCACGGTCACTTCAAATTCTTGGTAATGCCTTTCGAACTTACAAACGCTCCGGCCACCTTCCAAGCTTTAATGAACAACGTGTTTAAAATGTTGCTGAGGAAATGCGTATTGGTTTTCCTTGACGATATTCTCGTATATAGCAAGTCATGGGAAGAACATTTGGATCACTTAGAAACATTACTCAGAATCTTACGAGCGCAACAATTGTTCGCCAAACACTCTAAGTGTGTGTTTGCTGAAAGGAGTGTAGTGTACCTAGGTCATGTGGTTTCATCAGAGGGGGTCAGTATGGACTTGGAGAAAATAAAATGCATCCAAGAGTGGCCAATTCCAAAGACGGTGAAGGAATTGCGTGGATTTTTCGGTTTAACCGGATATTACCGCAGGTTCATTAAAGGATATGGAATCATAAGTAAACCACTCACCATGTTGCTAAGAAAAGACAGTTTTTTGTGGGCAGAGAACGCTACCATTGCCTTTGAAAAGCTCAAGGAAGCCCTCACTACAGCCCCGGTTCTAAGTCTACCAGATTTCTCAAAGACTTTCGTCATTGAAACCGATGCTTGCGATGTGGGAATGGGGGCTGTGTTGATGCAAGATAAACACCCCATTTCTTTTCTCAGCAAAGCATTCAGCCCCAGGTATCGTGGTTTATCAGTATACGAGAAGGAGCTAGTGGCGGTGGTGTTAGCAATCTCCAAGTGGAAACATTACATTATTGGCCATCATTTCATATTGACAACTGACCAGCAAGCTCTTAAGTTCCTGCTTGAGTAGAAATTAACCACCTCCCTTCAACATAAGTGGCTGAGCAAACTCCTTGGACTCGACTACGAGATTCAATATAGAAAGGGAGTAGAGAACAAGGTGGCAGATGCGTTGTCCAGATTGCCAGTGGGAAATAAAGAACAAGAGAGCTCACAGAAAGAATCTTGTCACGCCATTTCTTCTATACAGCCAGTATAGATGCAAGAGGTTGAAAACAGCTATGATGGTGATGAAGCAGCCCAACAACTCATTGCCGAATGCACCCTCAATCCCTCAACAGATTCTGAATACCAGGTGGTAAGTGGCATCTTGAAGAAATCAGGCAGGGTATATGTGGGAAAGTCGGGCGGAATCAAGCAGAAGATCATAGAGGCCATGCACTCCTCCTCCCTTGGGGGTCATTCAGGGCAAACTGCCACTATACAGAGGATCAAATCGATATTCTTTTGGCCAGAACAAAAACCAGAAATCGAAGAATTTGGGAGATCTTGCGAAGTTTGTCAGAGAAACAAGGCTGAACATGTTAAGTACCACAGCTCGCTACAACCCTTGAACGTGCCTCAGCAAGCTTGGAGACACATTTCCATGGATTTCATAGAAAGATTACCTCCCTCTGAATAGAAGCACGATGCTATCTTTGTGGTGGTAGACCGAATGACAAAATATAGCCACTTCTATGCCCTCACTCATCCCTTCTTAGCAACAAGAATTACTGAGTTATTTCTCAAGGAAGTGTACAAACTCCATGGATTGCTGGAAATCATCGTCAGTGATCGTGACAAAATGTTCACTAGTCATCTTTGGATGGAGTTATTCAGGCTACTGAACGGGCAACTCTGCATGAGCTCAGCGTATCACCCTCAAACCGACGGCCAAACCGAGAGAGTGAACCAGTGCCTTTAAAATTATTTACGCTGCTTTGCCGGAATTAAACCTTCCAGCTGGTGCAGATGGCTACCATTGGCAGAGTGGTGGTGCAATACCACCCACCATAGCAGCATCAATATGTCACCCTATGAAGCATTATACGGGAGCAAACCAGTACACTTGCCTCTAGGACCTTTCAGTGATGCTATTACACCAGCAGCAGAAAGTATGATTGAGCAACACAATGAAGTGATCAAGATTCTAAAAGACCAATTGACTAAGGCTCAAGGAAGGATGAAACATTTTGCCGATATGAAAATGTCTGATCGAGTTTTGGGAGTGGGAGACTGGTATATTTAAAACTCCAGCCATATCGTCAAGAAACAGTCACTATCAGAAATTCCTTGAAGTTGATTTCCAGGCACTTCGGTCCATACGAAGTGTTGGAAAAGGTAGGAAGTGTCGCCTACAAGTTGAAGCTCCCTGGTCACGCCAAGATCCACCCCGTCTTTCACGTCTCTTTACTAAAGAAACACCATGGATCACGGCCAGTAAGTTCAACAGCTCCACCTGACTTCTCGCAGCACTAAGATGCCACTCTAGGAACCTTGAAGTGGGAGACGTTTCCTGGGAAGACAAAGATTTCATTACCAAGCAATTCCCGAGCTTTAAAGCTAGAGGACAAATTGAAGCAGAGGGCATTGTCACGCTCCAGAGAAATTCTATTTCCAGTTTTAATATTTATATTTCAGTCCTAAATTATTATTATGCAAATTAGTGAATTAGGGTTGTGAGGCGACGTCGTTTCAACCTGCCTTGGTCACAAGATCGAACCCGCCGCCTCTCCAATCATTTTTGTTAATTTCCTTTCTTTATTTCCAAGCAATGGTGGACAGCTAGCCTATGTAGAAGTTTCCTGGAAATTACCCTTGTGTTTTCCTTATCAGAGCATGTGGCTCTTTTTATAGGCACGTTCCTGAATTGTACGAGGTTATCGGTTATATTGAAAACCTTCTTCCTTGATAAAACTCTCCCTAAAAACTTGCTTTTTCATCCCTGCTTTCCCCTTCTTCCTTTAACGCTCTGAACTCTGCAATCTGAGTCTGTTTATGGTCTTTAATTTTTTGATTTCGTTACATTGACTCCTATAGATCAAAACAGTCTATATATGCACTATTATTGCAGTAATAAATTCATGATTACCCGGTTTGGTGGGCCTCCAGACATGTCCATTATGTACAAAACATCTCTTCCGAAAACTTTAAGCCCAAATTTATTTGTTTCCAATGCCATAACCCATTGGAATTTGAATTGGATCCAATGAAGTTGAAGTATTATTGGAATTTGAATTGGATCCAATGAAGTTGAAGTATTTACGGAGGTTAACGACGAAACAACATTTGTATTTCGCGTGTCTTTCATCTCAGTAGGGTTCATCATATTATCATAATCACCAATGGCTGCAAAAGATTCCCGCAAGTTTGGGCGCACTGAAATCCTGTTTGCAAAGTTGGTTTTTGCATTACTGATCTTCGTTTCTGCGATATACTTGACGGCGATGGCTTATAGTTGGCTAAATCAGCTGAACCGATCAAATTTGGCCCTAAAGAGCCCAGAACTGCACCAAGAGTTCGAAAGATTCATGGTCAAATTTGGGAAGAAGTACGACACCGAGGAGGAGAGAAGCAAGAGATTCCAGATCTTCGCGAAATACTACCAAAAACTCAAGGATTCCAACAAGTCTGGAGGCGGGTCCGAACAATCCTCTAATACTGATCTGGGTATTACTGGCTTTGCTGATTATGCGGATGAGGAATTACCTCGTGGTGGGTGTTCCATAGACTAAGGAAACCAAGGATTTCTGGCAGATTTGTTTCCGGTGCTTTATTTTGGTGTCTAATGAAGGGTGCTCAAAGCAGGTCGTTTGAGATCAAACATCATTTATTCTTGTCAGTTATTATCTTCTTTACATATATCATTGTGATTTCACTACCCTTTGGTTTTTCTTTGACAGTACTGTTTACTGCGGAGAAAGAATTATTTATACGAGTTTATTGTTGAAGTTATGTGTTCTTGTTATTTTTTTATTATGATCATTAAGTTGTTGTTTCAAGCTATGTTATCCGGACTCTTCTATTTGGGGAGAATACGATACCCGTATCCGAGTCCAGGTAACATAGGTTTCAAGTGCAATAGCCTCTCTGCTGCCCTAAGAAGCCTTTTAGATTTTTATGATGATGATATGCGAGGCATTTGGTTAAAGTTGAGGATAGGCTAAACCTTCGTTTTTAGTGCTGAAAAGGAGGAAGGCATTCTGATATAAAAATGGCTTTTACCAGAAACTTCGATTCTGGGGAGGAAAGATACGCTACTTTCAACCTCCTTTTTTGTTGCGCGTTGTGGTGTTTGATTTCCATGATGTATAATTGTTTTCGATTGTACGTACTTGATAAACTATTCCTTCAAAAGGGAAAAATACTGCATTCTCATCGTTAGTAAAATTAGCTGGGTTGTTTTTTTGGGATACCATATCCAGCTTTGAAGAAGTATGCTTTCTTAATTATAATCGCAATTGAGCATAAGCATTGTCCCAACCTCACCGACTGACTAGCTGCTCTAGCTCCTGGTTGGAAGAATCAGACTTGGTAAGGTTAATCCTTGTGTCAAACTGTTTGGATCATTCTATATATGACTCGAGACTAGTTGTTAGGCACCGATTTTGTGGAGAACTTGGCCTGATGCATGTTCCAAACTGTGTATACCTTAAAAGTCTATAATAACCTCAAAGAGATATCTGGATCTATGACTGAAACAACATACGTTTATATCACAATGTTGGAGTAAGACAAAGGAAAACAACCTCTTGAGGTGTTCCCTTGTCTTCTCCATCCTAATTTCAAAAGCTGCGCATAAATGTTCTGTTTTATCTTTTGCTTCCAATATTTACTGGCGTCTTCAATCTTTGCCAATCATCTGCCTTTAACTCCATCCCCTCAATCAGGTCAAAGAGGAGCAACTTATGGTTGCAGATTGTACAGACATTTCTTCTAATCACACTATTATTGGGTGTGTGATCTAAAAACAGGGGAAGAAGAAGATTGAACAAGGAAATTGATGATGAAATTCAGATAAATTTAGGAAGAAATCAATGCTACTTAATCCGAAAACTACTACTAGTAATAATATAAAAATGCTACAATATGCTCCTCCTCATGTTTAAACTAAATTAGGTATATTAACGCGCGACCAATGCATCTTCAAATCAATTTACCTCGTTCTTGTGCAAGGTATCTGGTATGATTATTATATTTTCATACACTTTAAAAGGGTTACTGCAGTTTGTTTGTTACAAAAGGCATTTTGCCAAATCATTTCCGCAATAGATCTTATCATTCGTAGGAATACATGATTACTTAAATATAATGAATGCAGGGAAAAAATTTTAGGCTTGATGGTGAGTTAGCAAGATACGCAAATCGTAGAATTATCGAGATCAAAATATCCAAATGATCCTTTACATTTGGGCCTATTTGAAGTAACGTGCTCATCGTATATTTGTTGGTCTCATTTCAATATCGTAGTCACAAATATTATGTTTTCAAACTTTTTTTGTCCTATTTCATTGTTTTTGGCCGTTGAGATGCCGATATCAGAGGTATTTTCATCTTTTTATTTAATTTGAACTTCCATTAAAATTTCAATTATTAAAAATATTTTAAAACTCACATTTCATTATTTAATTTGTTAAAATATTATTTATTAATTTAAAATATTATTATAAAATTTTCAAAATTACTTTTTTTTATTTACCATTTATTTTAGGCACACTGTAAATTATGTTGCACTTTTAACTCGGGCCCACTGTAACTTAAACAATTTACCGAATTATAGTAATAATTAAAGATTCAAATTTTTCTTTTTAAAAAAAGCAAAATCAAGATTTTTTTACTTTGACCGCTACAAGAAACCCTAAATGGTAATTATTTTGTACTTTTAACCTTGTGAAGTACAAAATCAGGATTTCACACAGGATTGTTTTGGCGTCTCGGGATCGGATCGGATTCGGATTGGCGGAATCGAAACCATTTAAATAATTCGAAATTGCGAGTTTCAATTTATTAGTTCAATTCTTGTTTGATTTTATAGAGGAGAAGTAGATTAGTGCCTGCATAAATATCATCAACTCAAAATTTCAACAACTCAAAATTTCAACTTTTATATCTTTTCTAATCATTTTTTCTCTTTTTTATACGAAATCAACAATTTGTACAAGTATTGACAAAATCAAGCTGGATCGTAGGATCCTACGATTTGGATTGGAATTTTGAACGATTCTATAAAATCCTACTAAAAAGAAGGATTCCATAAGATCCAGGATCGATTTTCTCAAATCGGATCGTAGGGTCGTAGGATTCTAAGATTCGGATCGAGATTTTGAAAACACTATAACTTTAATAAATGTAACTTAAAGTAACTATATCGTATTACAATTAATAATCGGACTGGTGAATCTACCACCTACACCATCTCCAGTCTCTCAGGCAACAAGCCCATCACTGAAGACTCCCACACTCCACCGCGACGCCTCCATCAAGAAATCAACGAAACCACTCCCGCCAAATTGACGCTGAGGACGAAAGGACACAATGGGAATTAGAGGCCTAAATTGATTTGGGGATTTTGCCTTATATAGGAAAGTTAAAAAAAAATGTAAGGAATGTCAAAACGTTGTTGTTTTGAGTTTATTTTTTAATTTCGGTAAGTTGGTTAGGACTCGGCCGTTTTGACGTTCAAGTTTCTTATTTGTGTGGATGATTTGAAAATGTTTTAGAAGTAGTATTTATCTATTAATTATTTTAACTCTCATTAAAATCGTTAATTATCTATTGACTATTTTAAACTTCAATAAAATGGCTGATTCCATCGGAATTTTTATGGACCAATCAAAATATTAAAATAATTGGAGGTGGTTGTTTGTATAAGAAAGAAGAGAAGAAGAATAGAGATTAGGATCAATAATTTATGATGACTCTGTCACGCTCTAGAGAAATTCTGTTTCCAGTTTTAATATTTATATTTCAGTCCTAAATTATTATTAAGCAAATTAGGGAATTAGGGTTGTGAGGCGACGTCGTTTCAAACTGCCTTGGTCACAAGATTGAACCCCCCGCCTCTCCAATCATTTCTGTTAATTCCCTTTCTTTATTTCCTAGCAATGGTGGATAGCTAGCCTATGTAGAAGTTTCCTGGAAATTACCGTTGCGTTGTCCTTATCAGAGCATGTGGCTCTTTTTATAGGTACGCTCTTGAATTGTACGAGGTTATCGGTTATATTGAAAACCTTCTTCCATGATAAAACTCTCCCTAAAATCTTGCTTTTTATCCCTGCTTTCCCCTTCTTCCTTTAACCCTCTGAACTTTGCAATCTGAGTCTGTTTATGGTCTTTAATTTTTCGATTTCGTTACATTTGGCTATCAGAGCCACGATCTTCTGACTGTGGGGAGTAGTTATGGTAGAAACTCGTAACATGGGGGCGGAAGATCAGGTTAAAAAGATGGTTAACGATGCAATTTCCTCATTGGAAAAGAGAGTTGAAAGCAACATTGAATCCCTAGATATGAAGTTGATAAATATGGATAACGTTGTGGTAAGCCTGAGGTCTTAGATGGAAGCCATACAGGTGGAATCTCAGCAATCGAAAGCTAGATGGGACAAGATCGAATCTTGGATGCAAATCATGGCTAAAAAGAAGTTTGTGTTTAAAGGCGAAAACTCTACACCAGAACCAGAGAAGCCACCACTGCTGGATACTCCAAGTGGTCCGCCCAGAGTTATGATAGAAGATGATTCCCCCTGGAACGACAGAGATCGAAACCATAAGCACAATTTTCTCAGAATGGAGCTGAGCAATTTCGAAGGAGATAATGCAAAGGAGTGGATTCGAAAGTGTGAGAAATACTTCAGTCTATACTAGACTCCTAAAAATGCTAAGGTAAATATGGCTGAATTTTGTTTGATTGGCAAAGCAGAAATATGGTTCGAAGGAGTAAAAACAGACAGAGGAAGATTGAATTGGGAGGAATTCTCTGTGGCGTTAAACAGAAGGTTTGAGCTTAAAGGGAAAAAGGATGAATTCGAAGAATTCAACAAGCTGCAACAAAAAGGTTCTGTCTTGGAGTATATCGAGCAGTTTGAAGATCTGAAATCCCAAGTACTCCAGAAGGACCATAGATTGACGGAGCAATACTTTGTCTTGAGTTTTATCAGTGGTTTAAGGGAAGAAATCAAACCCGTGGTAAGGATGCTATCCCCCAGAGACTTGGTTGCAGCTATGGCAGTCTCAATACACCAAGAGATGACTTTGGAACTGCAAATGAAAAAGGAGAAATCATCATCAGTTAACCATCATAGACCTCCAGTTGTTCCAGGAAGGCAGAACGCTCTCCGCATCGGATGGAAACTAGATGAAAAGAGACCATACCACCAGGATAAATTCAAAAAGATCTCTCCTCAGGAAATACAATACAGGCAGAATCATAATCTATGCAACAAGTGCGGGGAAAAGTATGGCCCGGGCCATCAGTACAGTATGAACAAAGTGTATTTGATGGTGACAGAGGATGAGGAAGTCGGAAACTCGGATTTAGAGGTGCTTGAACTTCCAGAGGAACAGATGGTTATTGAAGGAGTTAGGAGGTTGTATCTACATTCACTGGATGGAAAATCCAAAAGAAGAACCATCACTATCAGGGGTAAGATTAAGGGAGTATGGGTGAACATTCTGGTTGATACTGGCAGTACATCAAGCTTCATTGGTCCCAGTGTGGTCAAGGCATTGTCTCTTC